CCAAAACCAAGGGTTTTTTTTTGTTTTTTGTTTTTTAAGATGTTCTTTGTTTATTCATCGGGCAGGGAGCCCGATGCGGGACTCCATCCTGGAACTCCAGGATCCCACCCTGAGCCAAAGACAGACGTCTGCTCAACCGCTGAGCCACCCAGGTGTCCCACCAAACCCCAAGGTTATGTAGATTTTCTCTTATGTTTTCCTCAAGAAGTGTTAAAATACTGCATTTTACACTTAGGTCTGTTACCCATTTTAAATACATTTAGGTATAAGGTCTGTACCTATGTTCATAGTTTTGCATAGGGATGTCCAGTTTTCTCAGCACCACTTGTTGAAAAGACTAGCCTTTCTCCTCCTAATTTTCTTTGCCCCTTTGTCAAAGATATGTTGACTGTATTTGTGTGGGTCTGTTTCCCAGCTCTCTATTCTTTATCATTGATCTGTATGTTCATTCTTTTGCCAGTACTATATTGCCTTGATTATTGTAGCCTTTTAAAGCCTTAAAATCAGAGTTGTCCAAATATGTTCTTTTTCAGCATTATGTTGGCTGTTCCTGGTCCTCTTCCTTTCCATATTCACTTTAGAATTCTGAGTTTCCGGAGTCCTCCTACAAAATAGCTTGCTGGGATCTTGACTGGGATTGTGTTGAATCCAGAGATCAGGTTGAGAAGAATTGACATCTTAACAATGTTGAGTCTACCTATCCCTAAAAATGGAATATATCTCCCATTTATTTAGATCTTCTTGATTTTTTATCAGTATTTTTGTAGTTTTCCACATATAGATCCTTTATATATTTTATTAAATTTATACCTAAGTATTTAATTTTTTGAGTGTTATCATAAATGTCATTTTTTAAAGTTCCAAATTCTAGTTTTTCCTTGCTCATAAATAGAAATGCATTTGATTTTTTGTTTATTAACCTTGTATTCTTTGTCCATGCTATATTCACTACTTTATTTGGGGGAGGTTAGTTCTGGGGGGTGTTCTACATTGAAAATCATGTCATTGCAAATAGAGACAGTTTTTTTTCTTCCTTTTCAAATAGTGTACCTTTTATTTCCTTTTTGTGTTGCACTAGAGGAGTTTTCAGTACTATGTTAAATAAGAGTTGTGAGAGAAGTTATCCTTTCCTTGATCCCCATCTTTAGGGAAAAGGCATCCAATTTCTCATCATAATGTATAATGTTAGTTGTAGATAATTATAAATATTCTTCATCCAATTGAGGAAGTTCCTCTCTGCTCATAATTTGCTGAGAGTTTTTATCATGGTAGGTGTTGAGTTTTGTCAAATGCCTTTTTTTCCATCAGTCAATATGATTATGTGATAATTCTTTAGACTTTTGATATAGTGGATTATATTGATTAATTTTCAAAGGTTGAACCAACCTTGCATAGTTGGATAAATCCCACTTAGTTGTTGTGTATAATTCTTTTAATACCTCGTTGGGTTCTACTTGATAATATTTTATTGAGGATTTTTATGTCTTTATTCATGAGCAGTATTGGTTTGTGGTGTGCCTTTCTTGTAATGTCTTTATTTGATTTTGGTATTAGAGTAATGCTGGTCTTTTTTTTAAATTTATTTATTAATGAGAGAGAGAGAGAGAGGCAGAGACACAGGAGGAGGGAGAAGCAGACTCCATGCCGGGAGCCCAACGTGGGACTCGATCCTGGGACTCCAGGATCGCACCCTGGACCAAAGGCAGGCGCTAAACCGCTGAGCCACCCAGGGATCCCCTAATGCTGGTCTTATAAAAAGAATAGAAAGGGTTCCCTCTGCTTCCTTTTTCTGAAAGAGATTATGACGAATTGGTATCATTTCTTCCTTTCTTAAGAGTTTGCTAAAATTCACCAGTGAAGCCACCTGGACCTGGTGATTTGTTTTGTGGAAGGTTACTAATTATTGATACTATTTCATTAATAGATACAGGGCTGTTTGGGTTATCTGTTTCTTCTTGTGTGAGTTTTGGTAGTTTGTATCTTCCAAGGAATTGGTGCATTTCATCTCAATTATCAAGTTTGTGGGCATAGAGTTGTTAATAATATTCCTTTATTGTCCTTTAAAGTGTCCATAGCTTCAGTAGTTATATTTTCCCTTTCATTTCTGATATTGGTAATTTGTGTTTCTCTCTTTTCTTGACTAGCTTAGTTTTTTTTTTTAAGATTTTATTAATTTATTCATGAGAGAGAGAGAGAGAGAGAGAGAAAGAGGCAGAGGGAGAAGCAGGCTCCATGCAGGGAGCCTGAGGTGGGACTCGATCCCAGGATCCCAGTATCATTCCCTGGGCTGAAGGCAGGCACTAAACTGCTGAGCCACCCAGGGAACCCCTAGCTTAGTTTTTTAAATTTTACTTTATTGTTTTTCAGAGAACAGCATTTTTGGTTTCAGTGATTTTTTTTTCCTATTTCTCTATTTTCCTGTTTTTAATCTCATTGGTTTCTGTTCTATGTTATCTTTGTTGCTATTTGTTTTGCTCTTCTTGCTCTCCTTTTTCTAGTTTCCCAAGTTTAGATGATTGATTTTTAAATCTTTTTTTTAACCTATGTACTTAAATTATAAATGCCCCTCTTAGCACTTTCACTGCATCCAACAAGCTTCACTTGAATTTTAAGATTTTTGCTGTCACTTTCCATGATCACTTTTTCCCTCTCCATATGTTCCTTATTTATGGCTTCCTGTTCCTGTGTCATAGTTGCATTGTTATTTTTCTGAGAATGTTAATTACTTTCTTTGAATTTTCTTCTTTTTCCTGCATTGTCTCTTTCTCTAAGTTTCTTTTGTTTGTTTTGGTGTCTTATGTTTTTGCATACTATTGTATATGTATGATATAACCAAAATTTAAAAACGGAAGTAAAAGTAGTAATATGCTTATTATTAAATTAGGATGACATGTCACTGTTATTGAAAATTGTTCTGAAGTTTACCTGTTGCCAGCATAATTATTGTTCTTTTTAATATGACTTATTCCTAAGGGTGTTCAGCCTTTGGAGTTCAAAAGTTTCATTAGAGTGTCCACTTGTGAATTTCTCCTTATTTAAATTGCTTGGTATAATGAGTTACCTGTATCTGTTATGTTTTTCATCAATTCTAGAAAATTTTCTAGAATTATCTTTTCAAGCAGACTTGTTTCATGCTATCTTCCTTATGGGACTCCATTCTCATGATGGATGATTTCTGCCATCCATGCCTCTCAACTTGTTATATTTTCCTCTTGTCTCTCTGGGCTGCATTTTAGGTCATTTCTTCAACTAGGTTTTCCAGTTTATTTAGTTCTCTCTTAAGTTATGTCTAATCTGTTTAACTCCTCTTTAAAAAAATCCTTTTTTTTTTTTTTTTTGGACCTCAACCATTGTCAGTTCATGACAACCATCAAATGTTTCTTGTAAAACCCTTTCATTTGTTCATTGTCTTTTACCCCTCATTTCCTACTCCTCTTCCTCACCCCAGGCAACTGTTCAAATGTGCTGCATGATGTATATCTTTTTGTTTGTATGTATTATTGCAAAATTTGTATTGTCTTATTGTATTTTACAGAAGTAACAGTACGGAACAGATTGGAAATTTTTTGTGAAAAAAGGTCATTTACCAAAGACAGTGTGAGGAACATTGCTATAGAGTGTTCCACCTTCTGGGTTTAGCTGATTGCTTTGTTTTGATATCATCTAACTTGTCCCTCTGTGCTTGAATTTCCTGTAAATATGCAGTTAGTTCTAAAAGCTTGGTTAAATTCAAGTTTAGTTTGGGGGGGCAGGAATATATTATATGTGATGCTGTATCTTCCACATGAGGCACATAATGTTTGGTTCTTCCACATTTATTGATGGTGAAATTGATCAGCGGAAGTCAGCATTTGCCTGTTCCCACCATTATAAAGTTACCCTCCAACCTTTCATCTAACACTTTTAGCATACATTGATAACTATTGCCTAGTCTGTTAATTGCATTAAGGATTTCTAAAGATAATTTTTAAAATTGTAATATCCATCTGTATTTAGTAACTGGAATTCTTATCTAAAGAACTTTCCCTGGGCAGCCCTCATGTTATTTGTTTTTGTTTTTAATATCAGTATTATCTCTTGTTTTTTTAGCTATTTGATTTGTGTTCAGTCCTTTGTAGCCTACATTCATTGGATGTTTGGTTGTCCCCCTTTTTTTTTTTTTTTGTCCCATTTAAGATAGTAGGAGCTCCTTCAGCTAGGCTGCTATGTCCTTTTAATTTTATCCCTTTAGTCACTGATAGATTCCTTTAAGGTGTCAGACTCATTTGGGAGTTCTTGGCATAGCTCAGAGGTTTACCTACTTTATTTATAAAGCTAACTTTTTTTGTACCTCTCTCGTATGTTCATTTCTATTTCTTTAACTCCTGCTCTTAGCTTATTAGTCTTCAATTTTTCTTCCATTCTGATGGAAGCATCTAAAGCTCTAAGCATTTGAAGTACCACTTTTGCTGAATCCCACAAGTTTTTATATGAAGTATTTTTATTTGCAGTATATTTCATATTATTGTTATATTATTTGGTATGTGATACTTACAACTGTTTTTAGCTTTCAGTTATGAACTCTTTGTCTTTTTTTTTAAATTATTTATTTATGATAGTCATACAGAGAGAGAGAGAGAGGCAGAGACAAGGCAGAGACATAGGCAGAGGGAGAAGCAGGCCCCATGCACCGGGAGCCCGACGTGGGATTCGATCCTGGGTCTTCAGGATCGCGCCCTGGGCCAAAGGCAGGCGCCAAACCACTGCACCACCCAAGGATCCCCTCTTCTTTGTCTTATGTAACTTAAGTAACATGGGTACTTAGATAAGTGTCTTAAAATTTACAATACCATACATATGTATGTTATGTTGTTAGAGTTGGTTTTCATGAATTATTGTACATTCTTCAGAGCAACTTGTTTGTGTCTGTTCCCTGATTATGTTTCTTTGTATGCAGTTAGGTGGCATAATATTTATATGTTAGAGAATTAAATGAACTATAATAACTTTTTATTTCCTAGGCATATAAGGATTAAATTCTGACTAAGTCTACAAGTAGGATGGACAGTTATTTTAAAGCAGCAGTCAGTGACTTGGACAAACTCCTTGATGATTTTGAACAGAATCCAGGTTTGTTGATTTTTAATTTTTGCTACTAATGGAATTTTTAAGTATCTGTGATTCAGTTATCTCAGATACAGAGTACTCTTAGCAAAATTTGGTTTCGGTTGGGGTCACGTGATTATATGGTATAAACAGTTCACATTTTATTATATATTAGTCTTTTTTTTTTTTTTTTTAATTCATGAGAGACAGAGAAAGAGAGGCAGAGGCACAGGCAGAGGGAGAAGCAGGCTCCAGGCAGGGAGCCTGACATGGGACTCGACCACGGGTCCCCAGGATCACGTCCTGAGCTGAAGGTGGCGCTAAACCGCTGAGCCACCCAGGCTGCCCCTATATTAATCTATTCTTATACTAAATAGAACCAATAGCCAGAAATAGAAGTAAGGAAACTAGAAGTTTTCTCTACAGGTACAAATTTAACTAAGAGAAAGACCTTTAAAATCAACAAATAAGCCAGCTAAAAAAACAACTTGAAAACTTTACATAAATTGGTATTTCATTAATGTGAGAGATGTTTTTCCACTCATCTGATAACGAAGACTAGGAAACTAGAGAGAGAACCAAAATGTTACATTGTTTTTCAGCTCTTCCTTGGTCTGGATTTTATAGTACAACTGAGTCATTTTGGGTGGAATTTCTATTACATTGTGACATCTGAAAAGTAAAAACTCCCAAGTAGTTTAAACAAAAATACTTTTGGAGGTTATTATCATTTTGTAAAAGAGTAGTCTTTATCTTTGTTCCAAACAAAAGTTTAGTTAATTTAGAAGACTTATAAAACATAATTATCTCTGTGATAATTTTGCTTTGACCTTCATGAATAACATTATATCTCTGTTTTAATTAGATGAACAAGACTATCTTCAAGATGAGCAAAATGCATTTGGTTCTAACCACTGTTCAGTTTCTTCAGAGTTGGTTTCCTCACAACTGACTTCACTGCTACAGAAGGATCAACAATGCATTAATTGTTGTGCCTCATCAGAAACATGCTATGAAACAAATCAGATTTCCCTGAACAAAACACTCGAGGGACTAACTTCCATACAAAATGAAAAAAATGTAACAGGACTTGATCTCCTTTCTTCTGTGGATGGTGGCACTTCAGATGAAATCCAGCCTCTCTCTATAGGACGATGTAATAAACCTGTCTGTGATCTGATAAGCGACATGGGTAACTTAGTTCATGTAACTAATAGTGAAGAAGATATTAAACAGTTATTGCCAGATGATTTTAAGTCTAGTGCAGATTCTTTGATTGGATTGGATTTATCTTCAGTGTCAGAAACTCTCTGTGCTTCTCCAACCGACCGTGGTAATAATACTGTCAGAGAGGAACAGAATGATGTCAACTCTGAATTACAAAATAGAGCAGTCAGTGGAGCTGAAGAATTGGGTATAAAAGTAGATACAACAGCTTCAGATTCATGTCATTACAGTGGAAAAGAGAATTTAAAAGATCAAGAGATCTCTAATCAGTTAGAACCAGTTGTTGATTTTAACATGCCATCTGCTTTGACTCAACAAAGTTCCAAAATGTTTCATGCCAAAGACAGCCTACAGCACAGGGACCAGCCATGTGTATTACAGAAAGCCAATAACTGTTTGGTAAAAGAGGAAGTAGATGTGGCAGTCAGAGCTGCCACAGAATGTTTAAAAGAAAGAGACCACACAAGTGCTTTGCCTTGCAGTTTTCCAAAAAATGAGGATTTATACTTAAAGGATTCAAATGCAAAAGATGAAAATTTCAAATTACCTGACTTTTCCTTTCAGGAAGATAGGACTGCTGTATTTATAAAACAGGCTGCAAAAGAAGGCTCAAGAGATGTGGATCTTAAAGATAATCAAGATGTAATCCAAGATTCCTCTCCAACTCTACATGTTTCAGATGAAGAGATATACTCCTCACTGTCTTGTCTTCCAGTACCTGGATCTTTGTGTGGATCATTAATTGAAAATAAAGCATATGGTGATTGTTTACTACAGAATGAACATAAAGATAACATACAAGATGCAGTACATGAAGAAATACAGAAGAGTGTTATTCTGGGTGAGGAACCATTAAAGGAAAATGATCTTTTGAAACAGGAAAAATGTAAAAACATAATTGAACAGGTAGAAGATAGAAAGGTAGAGTCCAACCAGATGATAATCAGAGTTGAGTCTTTGGATTACCCTGGTAACACAAATTCTTCTGCAGGTACAGAATCTCAAATGGAGCTTTCTGGGGCTAATGCACCAGAGTTTCCTGATTCTTGTGAAGGTTTCCCTTTTTCAAGCAATGATATCGATGGGCAAGACTTAGATTACTTTAATATTGATGAAGGCATGAAAAGTGGTGCATTAATTAGTGATGCTGAACTTGATGCCTTTCTGACTGAACAATATCTCCAGACTAATAACATAAAATCATTTGAAGAAAGTGCAAATGACTCAAAATCTCAAACGAATCAGATAGACATGAAAGGCCTAGATGATGGAAGCATCAATAATATGTATTTCAATGCTGAAACAGGAGCTAATGGAGAAAGTCCTGGTATTAATATGATATGTGAAACAATTGATAAACAGAATACAACAGAAAATGGTGGCCTTTCTTTAGGGGAAAAAAATACAATTCTGGTTGAACAAGGGTTATCTAACAGTAAATCTGAGATTACAAATGAATTATCAGTCTCTGATATTAACAATCAGTCTTCTATTCATGTTGGAGGGGCCAGACCAAAGCAATTGTTTAACATTCCATCAAGACCAAGAGGTTCAAAGGAACCAAATAAACCAGATGTTCCAAATATGCCCGAAAGTGAGCCCAGCATAGCAAATACGATTGTTCCAACTACTTGTACTCCCGATGCTACAACTGATCCTCAGGTTAGCTTCAACTCTAATTACATTGACATAGAAAGTAATTTTGAAGGTGGATCCACTTTTGTAACTGTGAATGAAGAATCTCTACCTGCAAACACTTGCAAAGAAGGCCTCGTTTTGGGCCAGAAACAACCTACTTGGGTTCCTGATTCAGAAGCTCCAAACTGTATGAACTGCCAAGTCAAATTTACTTTCACAAAACGACGACATCATTGCCGAGCATGTGGGAAAGTAAGTTAAAAAATCTTTGTCTTTTATTCTTTTGAAACATTATAAATGAAATTTAATGTGACAAAAAAAACTGATTAATAGATGATTGAAAGTTTTGGTTAGTTTAAAATCATTTTTCACCTAGATGGAAATATATAAAGCACTGTCATTTTACAGATTGCTTGAGGGTGTATAAATGTCACATTGTCAGGAGTATGATGTACTGGGAAATGAGGAATGCTAATTACTAGTTTTTGTGAAATCTAAGAATATGTCTTCATCCCTCTAACATTGACACATGAGATATCCCAAATTCAGTCATAACTCCCTGTGTCATTGAATTAATTTCAAGACTCCCCTGCAGTTAGTGTTATAGTCTACACCTAGGGAAACACTGTGGGGAAAAGAAGCAAATTGACTGCCACAAGGTTCAGAATGCTGAAGCAGACCTTGATTGCATTCTATCTTGTCTGTAAACTCTAAGGGTATAGAAATAACATTGCATTTTTTTTATTCAGCATTTTTCAGTATTATGTTGGTCTTACATCAACTCTTCTCTCTTTTAGAAAAATAATAGCATTCTTTTAAAAGTTTTGAATAAAGGACTACAGAAAGCTTTTAAATTATAAACTTATTCATTAAAGAAAATTTTTGTTATTTTCCAGTTAACAGGATTGATTTAAAGGAATTCTGGTCAGAGACATGATTTTAAATTGCAGAAACTGCATTGAAGTAAAATAAAAAATAATAATTTTAATAACTGTCTATGATTATAATGTAGAAAAATTATTTGTATAATCAGAAAAATAGATATTGGGCCTCCTCTCCTCCTGCCTCCCATAGGTATAAACAAATTTGGTATTTTATTCTTTATAGGTATTTTGTGGTGTCTGTTGTAATAGGAAGTGTAAACTACAATATCTAGAAAAGGAAGCAAGAGTGTGTGTAGTCTGCTTTGAGACTATTAGTAAAGGTGAGTATTAACCTGACACATTTTCTTCCAGTAACTGAATATATCATAAAGACAATCAGATTGTGACAAAGATAAACTTCTTTATTTTCTTAAGGCGAGGACCTAGTGTTGACTTATCTGGTTTAGGTGGGACATCCCATGGCTTGGTTTCTCTTCTTTTTGTTCTACTCTCACAATTAATACTACCAATTTGGAAAGGAAACATTCAGTTTCTGGAGTGGCAGTTCATTAACTTTTAACAGGTACCAAGTCCCTGAATGCTGCATTTCATCTCCCTATTTGTTTTGTCATCATCATTGTCATCTTTATCATCTTAATCTAAACTTTTATAGAATTCTTAATGATAAGTAGCATTCAGTGTTATAAATTAATAGCTTAAGGCAAAATAATAGTTCCCACCCTTTTGAAAATTATAACCTAAGATGGGAATACAAAATAAGGTAGTAATATTTATGGCTTTATAGATAAAATTCGTAGGACTGTCATAGTATTAGCACAGGTTTATCTCATATATGTTTTTCCCTTCTCCAGTTTTAGATTTAGTTTGTATGTATTTCACCTTATTTCTGGCTCCCTAGCTTAGCTATGATTATCAGTAATAATCATGGTCGTCTTACTTGTGTTCTCACAGTGTGTGTGTGTGTGTGTGTGTGTGTGTGTGTGTGTGTCTGTCTGTCTGTCTTTGTGTGTCTGTGTGTTGTACGGTGTTTTTCTTTCTAAAATACACATTTGCTCTTTTTTTGAGTACTTCTTGGCATTTTCAAAGATTTGTTGACACTTTAATTCCCAGCAAATATTACTTGGGACTTTTTAATATCAGACCTGTATAACTAGCTCAGGTGCTGCTTCCTGTTAGCCAGGAGAATAAATACCTGATAATAATTTATTTTTCTTTTTTGAATGAAGATAAATTTTTTCAGCAATTCTCCAAAAAGCTCTGATGTGAGTCTATTAGACTGAGGTAAGCTGCTTTTCTCCCTGCTGTTGACCTCTGCTCTGGAAGATAATAGAGTGTAAACTTTTTAAATTTCCATCTAACCAGCATTATTTATGAAGAGGTTAGTTTAAGACTTTTTAGTTGTTTTTTCCTGTGCTGTTTCAGTAGCCTAGAAGCCAGCTGAGGCTGTTTAGCCAGACAGCCTGCTAGAATGAGAACAACATATGAGAGCAAGTTCCCGTATATTCTCTTTTCCTACTTGGAAAAAAAGTAAAGTAGCCATGAAGATTTGAAACATTATTTGAGTTGACAGGTCAGATTTTTGGGTGAACATTAGAACAGTTTGGACTATAAGATTCCAGAAAAGGAGAAAATATAGCCATTAAAGAGACTCAGTAGGATATTGAGATCATGCTTTGGTTTATCAAAGAAAATATCTTGAAATGAATTTGCTTATCTAGGTATCTGTTTTATTTATTCTGTTATGATATCTTATAGCATGTATTTTCACTTATGGTTCTATTTAACACTGATTTATACACCACAAGAAAACAAATACAAGTTATTTTAATATCAGCCTTAGGGTTGAAGATGTTAGGAGTGATCATTTAAAATAATGTTATTAAATAAGATGCGAAAGATGGCTCAAGGGTTGTAAGACAAACTCCATGAAAGATTTGAAGAAAAGATAGTTTAATTAGAGATTATGGGTAATGAGGAAGTTGTGCTGAGACTATATAAGTTTGTGGAAAGCCTGAATGTGAGTGCCAATAGGTAGATTTGGACATTACTCAAAAGCAAGTTGGACATTATTCAAAACCTGGAGTAAGATTATGGATTTTATTTGGTGAGTTGAAGCCATTTCATGAGAGTGCTATGATTCAGTGGCATTTGAGGAGGATTACTTTAGCAGTGGCAACATTTAGAGCAGATTGGTTTGGAGAAAGGATGAAGGGAGAGCTATCAGTGCTGTTCCATGCCATTTGGATGAAAAATCATTCAGCAAATTTCAAGCATTGTTTTGCATTTTGGAGCTCCAGCTGTGAACAGAATATACTCCTCTTCTCATGGAGCCTATGATCTCATGGAGTTTAGGAATGTGGGGAGAAATGGACAGTAAGCAAAGAGAATATCAGCTGGTGATCCTAAGTGAAAGAGAGTGTAAGAGGGATAAATAGTAACAGATTAGTGGCAAGAGGTAGTATTTTTTTTTAAGATTTCATTTATTATTCATGAGAGACAGAGAGAGACAGAGACACAGGCAGAGGGAGAAGCAGGCTCCATGCAGGGAGCCCTATGTGGACTTAATCCAAGGACTCCAGGATCACGCCCTGAGTCCAAGGCAGACGCTCAACCCCTGAGCCACCCAGGTGTCCCAACAGGTAGTATTTTTTTTAATGGTAGGCAGAGTAAGGCTTTATGATAATATGACATGTGAGAAGTGAGAGAATAAAGCTATGTGAGTATTTATGGGAAGAACAGTGTAGGCATAAAGAATAATAAAAGCAAAGCCTAAACTAGGGGGAGTGCTTGACTTGTTGAAGAACCAGGAGGTCTGGGTGGCTGGATCATAATGAACAAGTGGGATTGTAATGAGAGATGAGGTCAAGGAGCTGAGTGGGAAGGTAGAGGAAGTACGGATGTAGAGTACATAGGGTCTTGTGAGCACAACAATTGAAGTCTTCACTCCACTTGAGAAGCCATTTAAAGATTTTAAAGAGAAAAATAATGTGATAGGATTTATGTCCTAATGGAATCACTCTGAGCTATGTTAAAAATAGATTGTAGGAGTACAAGGACAAAAACAGAGACAGTCATATTAAATAACAGTTATTTTCTTTAGTAAACATATGCCAAACATAATATTGAAATAACTAATTAGTAGCTTATACTGAAGCGGGGTGCTGCCACCTGGAGTAAGGACATTATCTTTGCCAAGTGCCACTTCTTTTTCTTGCTTAGCCATTGATTTCTTTCTCCTCCAACTTGAAAAATAGATAATTTATCATAATTTACTTTGAAGTTCAAAAGTATTTTAATATTTTTCCCCCTTTCTAGCTCAGGCATTTGAAAGGATGATGAGTCCAACTGGTTCTAATCTTAAATCTAATCATTTTGATGAATGTGCCACCACCCAGCCTCTTCAGGAGACTCAAACATCCAGTATACCTTCACCTACAACTTTACCCATCTCAGCACTTAAACAACCAAATGTTGAAGGTAACTAGAAGAAAATGTTTCTTAGACTAAAGATCATTTTTTTTATGGAATTTCTAGTTTGATAGGGTCTAGTGAGGAAAGAGAGACCAGACTAGATATTACAAGGAATTTGGTACAGGGACTGCAGAGTATGTATGTTTGTTAGAAGATTGGAAGAGCAAAAGGGGCATGTTCAAGCGACTCAGGGATACTAACCACAGTAAAAAACCACTACTTCTAGGGTTGGAATGAGGAAAGGTGAAGGGCAATAATCTAGAACTCAGTGCAGGAATACTAAGAGGTATTTGACTCTTGGACCTGGGATTCGGGGTGTGACTGGTGTGATTCCTGAGAGAACACCAAGTGGCAAATGTTGGAACCATCAAGGGGGTTCATGGGGTTAGTGTTCAGTTGAATGAAGGAGTGTTCCAGGCTTGATGTTAGGAATACTGAAAATTATAAGGCATGCACCTATATCTAGTGCTGCTGCTGCTGCTGCAAGGATCCTGGCAGGAACTAGAACAGAATTCCTTCTCCTCCCACCTTCTACTCTCCCACCAGTGCTATTGGCAGAACATGACCAGAGCCAACCAGCAAGGGGGTCTGGAAGTTGCACTTTCCAGACTTCACCCTTGCATCAAAGAGCACCTTATAGAAGACTGGGCTTGGGTTTGAGAGACGATAGGTAAATAACTGGTGTATCTCCCTTTCTTTAAAAATCTGTTTCTTGGGCAGCCCTGGTGGTGCATCGGTTTATCGCCGCCTGCAGCCCGGGGTGTGATCCTGGAGACCCGGGATCGAGTCCCACATCAGGCTTCCTGCATGGAGCCTGCTTCTCCCTCTGCCTGTGTCTCTGCCTCTCTCTCGCTCTCTCTGACTGAATAAATAAATAAATATTTAAAAAATAAATTAAAAAAATCTGTTTCTGGAAAAAAAAAATCTGTTTCTGGGACACATGGGTGGCTCAGTGGTTGAGCGTCTGCCTTCAGCCCAGGGCATGATCCTGGAGACCTAGGATCCAGTACTGGGATCAGGCTCCCTGTTTGGAGCCTCCTTCTCCTTCTCCCTCTGTCTGTGTCTCTGCCTCTCTCTGTGTGTCTCTCATGAATAAATAAAATCTTTTTTTAAAAAAATCTATTTCTACACAAACAAAAAAACCCTGTTTCTATATATATTTTTTACCATAATAAAAAAGCTCTTTACGGGGTCCCTGGGTGGCTCAGCGGTTTGGCGCCTGCCTTCGGCCCAGGGCATGATCCTGGAGACCCGGGTTCGAGTCCCACGTCGGGCTCCCTGCATGGAGCCTGCTTCTCCCTCTGCCTTGTCTCTGCCTCTCTCTCTTTCTCTCTCTCTGTCTCTCATGAATGAATAAATAAAATCTTTTTTTTTAAAAAAAAAGGGCAGCCCTGGTGGCACAGCAGTTTAGTGCCGCCTGCAGCCTGGGGCGTGATCCTGGAGACCCTGGATCGAGTCCCACGTCGGGCTCTCTGCATGGAGCCTGCTTCTCCCTCTGCCTGTGTCTCTGCCTCTCATTCTCTCTGTGTGTCTCTATGAATAAATAAATAAAATCTTTAAAAAAAAAAAGCTCTTTACATCTACTCAAAAATCTTTGGGTTCTCTGTTCTTTTTTATAATCTGTAGTTTAGGACGTTGAATAAAGCCTGTGTACTTTTTTTTAAAAAAAAGGTAGGTTTGTTTGTTTATTTTATTTTATTATTTTTTGTTTGTTTATTTTAAACTGTGAGAGAGTCGGAGGGGCGCGGTTAGAGGGAGAGAGAGAATCCTGAAGCAGATTTCCTGCTGAGTGTGAAGTCCAAGGTGGCTCTGTCTCAGGACCCCAAGATCGTGAACTGAGCCAAAACCAAGAGTTGGCTGCTTCACTGATGGAGCCACCTCAGCACCCTAAGCCTGTGTAAAATTTTTAAGCACAAACTATTAGTCTCTAACTTGCTAGAAAATAACTGTAAATGTCAGAGACAAATTCAGATACTTCTGAAAATTATTTTGGATTTCAACTTCTCTCTTAATACAGCCATTTTCTGTTTGTCATTATAGCTTAGATAAGGAGATTCAGCGTATATGGTTGTATGTTACAGCTCTAAAATGAAAAATCTGCTTTAAAGATATTTACATGTTTTCTTATATTGACATCCTAAAGTATTAAATTATAAAAGCATTGCAAATACATGAAAGATATCTTATTTAGTATGTCTACCCATATTGCAAAAATTGTGTGTAATTCCAGTTTTCTCAGTGTTACCTGTATTATGTTCTGGAAGATAGATGTTGATCCTTTGTTTTTTATATTGTTCTAAAACCATTTGGCAGCTATTTTCATAACCTTCCTCTGTGGATGCTTTGTAACAAAAGAGATCACGTATTTATGCTGATATCTAGTTATTTCCTCCAAATTTAGGAGGAAAATACTAATATTAGTAAGATTCAATACCCACATATAAAAAAAATTATGCTTCTCTTATTAAGTAAATTAAAACTAAGAAATTACCTATTTTTTATTTTTTTAAAGATTTTATTCATTCATGAGAGACAGAGAGAGGCAGAGACACAGGCAGAGGGCGAAGTAGGCTTCATGCAGGGAGCCTGATGTGGGATTCAATCCCGGGGCCCAGGGTTCACACCGTGAGCCGAAGGCAGACGCTCAACCGCTGAGCCACCCAGGTGTCCCAAGAAATGACGTCTTTTAAATAAAGAATTTTTTTAAATGCACAAGTGATCCTGTTTTATTTTTTAGATTTTTTATACTTTTTTCTGTTCTTCCCATGTTTTTCTTTGCTTATCTGCCATGCTCCAGTCTACATTTTTCCACCTTGTGCCTTAGTCTTTAAATTTCATTCATTCTTCACTTAGTGATACAGGCTTTAAATCTGCCCCGACTGTCCTAAAGATATAACCTGTATTATCCACTCTTTCTCAGTATATGATTCCTAGGGTTACTCCTGCCTTTTGTATAAATTAGAAAAAAACTTCCATTCTGGGTAGCTGAATCACAAAAGGGTATTTCTGTAGGCCTTTGCAGCCCTGAGAAGGCAGGTCTTCCCAATGGATAGCAAAAAGGTTTTGAAAACATTTCCCAACTGATTTAGTATTAAATCATTGCAATATTACCAAATTCAAGTACTACTTTACTTTTTAAACTGATTCTAGGATTAAGCTCCAAAGAACAGAAGAGAGTATGGTTCGCAGATGGTATACTGCCCAATGGTGAAGTTGCAGATACAACAAAGTTATCATCTGGAAGTAAAAGATGTTCTGAAGACATTAGTCCTCTCTTACCTGATATGCCCTTGGTAAGGAAGCTAAAGAACGACCTGTTAATTTAATAACATTTTCTTTTAAATATATTTTGTAGTGTGATTATTAGAGTACTTATTTGTTAATGCTGCGAGCTTCCTAAAATGAGAAATATATGATGTAGTGAATATATTTTAGATTTTACCTTTTTAGATGTTGGTTTAAGGTAATGATTGTCAAAATAAAAAAATAAAATAAGGTAATAATTGTCAAACTTACTGGTCTCCGGACCCCTTTATGCTCTTAAAAGTTATTGAGAACTTCAAAGAGCTATAGATTATGTGGGTTATATCTAGTGATAATTACTGTATTAAAATTGTGTGGGGGTGTCTAGGTGGCTCAGTTGAGTATCCAGCTCTTGATCTCAGGGTTATGAGTTCAAGCCCTGCATTTGGGCACCATGCTGGGCATGGAGCCTATTTAAAAACTAAATAAATAGACTTATTTGTTTAATTAAATTAAAATTGTGAAAAAATTAATTTAAGTTATATTCATGGAAATATTTATGAGACATTTCAAAACAAAGTTTAGTGAGAGGAATAATACCATTTTACTTTTTGCAAAATTCTTTGGTATCTGGCTTAATAAACAATTCTCACATCTGCTTCTACATTCAATCTGTTTTGATATGTTGTTTTTGGTTAAATTATATGAAGAAAATCTTAAGACCTCACTGACTCCCTTTATTAAAGTCTTGGCGACTTTAGAAAACACTGACTCACATTTTAAGAACCCTTAGTATAGGGAAATAGAACTGAGATTTAGTAATATAATTTAGGCTAATATTTGTTTAATGATTTTCAGACATTCAGTAAAATATCTGGTAGTGGTATTTATGTTTGCATTTACACAAATGTTTTAGGTGTTAAATAAAAGGTATGTACTACAGAATCTAGCCCACTAAGAACTTTTGTGGTAAAGTAGCAAAATATTCATAGAAACAAGTATTCAGACATGAAGTAGGAATGCTGTTATTCAGTAAACATTTATTGAGCATCTGCTGTGTGCCAGTTACCTGGTTTATCTTAGGTGTATGCATTAGACAAGATTGGTATGTATCCTGCTCTGTTTCACATACCATATAAATGCATGTTGTTTGTCACTAAGGGTTCATGAGCTAGAATTTCCAAATAGCCCTAATTATCACAGGTATGTTTCTTAGCACCTATCCTCAATCGATATTTTAACAAAATGAAAGTTCTAAACAGCCTAGTAAATTTTACTTGAGTTCATAAATGCCTCTCATTTAATACTAACTCAGATTTGGCCAGATTAAAAGGGGGGGGGTGCTTTATTGAAACCAGCTTGAAGTATTGCTTATTGGTGATGACTGTTGAGGAATATACCTATCATTCTTGCTTCCTAACCACTCCCCTCCCTGCCTTCTCCCCTGATCTCTCTCTTGCTACCTTTCCCTACACAAGACTTTTTGGCTGTTGTCAGGAGGAGAATTGGGTTGAACTTAGTTTGCTTACTGTGTGATATGATACAGGATCCTGAAGTTCTCCTTGCCTCCTTTTTCTAGTCTATAACATTTTTTTTAAAGATTTTACTTCTTTGTTCATGAGAGGCACAGAGACAGAGAGAAGCAGAGGGAAAAGTAGGCTTTCTGCAAGGAGCCCGATGTGGGACTCAATCCCAGATCCCAGGATCACACCCTGAGCTGAAGGCAGATGCTCAACCACTGAGCCACCCAGGCATCCCTCTAGTCTACAAAATTAAAGTTATTAATACTACCTGAATATATCATATAATAAAGCTAAACTTTACTCTTCTGAATTTAAAGGAGCAAAATGGTACTATTTCTTGGCAAATGTGGCTTTTGAAGAATTTCTGAGCCTATTTTAGTTTTCTTTACTCTTATTACAAAAGTATCTTTAGGGCACCTAGGTGCTCATTCAGTTAGGTGTCTGTCTTCAGCTCAGGTCATGACCCCAGGGCCTGGGATTGAGTCCCATATCGGGCTTCCTGCTCGGTGGGGAGTCTGCTTCTCCCTCTACCCCTCCCTCCTGCTTGTTCACGTACGTTCTCTCTCTCTTTCTCTCTTTCTGTCTCATACTCTCTCAAATAAGTAAATAAAATCTTTTTTAAAAAAGTGTCTTTGGCTATAGAGCTCAACATTTCACAGTTGAACAGAGAATATGAACTAATAGTTTTTTTTTTTAATTCCATATTTTACAGACAGTAAATACAGTGGATCATGCCCATTCTACTACAGTGGAAAAAGCAAACAATGAGATAGAAGATATTACAAGAAATGAGATAATTCAGAGTCCTATTTCTCAGGTTCCATCTGTGGAAAAACTGCCTACAAACACAGGAACTGAGGGGCTACCTACTTCTTGTTCTTTTATGCCAAATGATGATGTTTTTGCAGAAATTGAGGGACCACCTAGTCCTACTGGTGTCTTAGTTCCCAGCAATTTACCTGTTGCTAGTACTTCAGATTATAGGTTACTGTGTGGTATTGACAAGAATGTTTGCAATAAGATTAGTCTTCTACCTAATGATGAGGACAGTTTGCCACCTCTTCTGGTTCCATCTGGAGAAAAGGGATCAGGTAGGATAAGTTATTTAAATTTTAAAAAGAGGGTTTTTTTTTTTCTTTTGAAAGAACATTGGTGAATTTTGTGATATATGAAATGTATTTTTTTAAGCTGAGGCGATTTGGTTGGACTATATACCATGACATGTATCCTCAGCTTTTACAAAAAGTCTTATTATGTGAAACCAAATTCTAAAAAGATCTTTACTTTCGAAGTGAATGAATATGACTCATTGATTTCATCTTGAGTCCCTAATTTAGAATGAGGCAAAAGTTTAGTTTGACAGGGAAACTCATATACTTAAAAAAAAATTCTTTTAAGATTTGTATTTATTTATTCATGAGAGACAGAGAGAGGCAGAGACACAGGCAGAGGGAGAAGCAGGCTCCATGCAGGGAGCCTGATGTGGGACTCCATCTAGGATCTCGGGTCACACCCTGAGTGAAAGGCAGACGCTCAACCACTGAGCCACCCAGGGGTCCCTATATTAAATATTTAATCCTGAAAATATTTCCATTGTATTAGAGTTTTGACTTCATATCATTTTTTTCCCAGCCTCCTTGCTCTTTTTTTTTTTTTTTTTTTTAAGGAGCAAAGTGCCTAAAGAAGAGAGTATTGGATTGGACACCAGAGCAAGAATTTTAGTTCTTTCTCTGCTACTTATTAATACATCTGTGACTTGAAGCATGTTATTTAATCTCTTTGGGCTTCAGTTTCCTATGTAAAAGATGAGAGCCTATTTGATCTCTAAGGTCCTTCCAAGTTGGAGATTCTGTGGCTAGCTTCCACTTCAGAGTAGTTCTCTAGGATACATCCTTGTCACCCCTGGCATTATGCTGCATTCTGCAACCTGAAATGATTGTGTTCTGTGCATGATAATATAGGAATTAAGCTTAGGATATTTGTTCTGTCACTGGGAGCTATTTCATGAGCCTAGTTATAGTGGCAGAAATGCCTTCAGTCCTATACTTTGCATGCCATACATATTTTCCTGTTGATTGTTAAGATCTTTCTTTGACACTTGGTCACTGACAAAGGGCGTATGGTAGCAAGCAGTATATACAACTTGAGTCTAGATTACTTTAAGAGTTGTGAATTTCAGAATTTATAATTGGAGTAGCTTGCAGTCTGGAATCCACTTCACAAAAAATGTTTGTTTTAAAGTTGTATAGGGACTAAAATTGTATAAATATGCTATTTAATCAACATATCTTCTATAACTATATATATTATTTCAGAATTTATATGCATTACAATTATCTTTATATAAGTAGGAAAGTAAAAATGAGTATATAATAGTTGTCCAGAGTATGGACTGATTTTTATGAAATAGATTTGCTTTTGTTATTAAATTTGATCAAGCCATTGATAGATTTATAAATCTTTTTTTTATTGTAAACATATTTAACAGGAAGTCATATCCTAACTAATATGTTACTTTCATGATTTAGTGCCTGTAGTAGAGGAACGCCCATCTCATGAGCAGATCATTTTGCTTCTTGAAGGCAAACGTTTTCATCCTGTTACATTTGTCCTAAATGCTAATCTACTGGTGAATGTCAAGTTAGTATTTTGTAAGTAATGATTGATTTTTCTTTGCCTAAGTGGTGTGTAGGATTTCTGAATTTAATTAAATTTTGACTGGTAGCCATGAAAAGTAAGCAGCACTGGATGCTGATTTATCAGCCACATTTGAATATAGATTTTGCAAATTTATATTCATTGGGACTTGAAAGCTTAAAGATTTTTACTAGTATCCTTCAAGTTCAGTCCTAGGTTACGGTTATGGGCTCCTAGCTGTACCTGATGCTTATGATACAGTGGACTGTATTGCATATAGCTTTTAGATAAATTGAAATTTGGTAATTAAACAGGAATCCTGATTCAGTAGCAATAAAGACAGTTTTAAAGTAAGTGACATGTGACCTAATTAAAAGTAAGGAAGTAAATAATCCTCAGTACTCATCAATCTCTCAGCTTTTCATTCTCTGAAACAAACTTGATTCTTACCCACTACGTTTCAGCATATTAATGCATCTTTTAGTTTATTTTTATTTTAGTGTTATTTATTGACTCCAATAAGATAGTCTTTCATCCTTTCTCTTTTTTACATTAATCTTATATGAATCAGTTTCAAGCTTTTTTGTGAAGAGAATTTTAGGAAAATAAGGAATTTGAAAAGTTGTGCTTCATACAAAGGACAACTATATTAGTTTCTCTGGTTCTTAGAAGTTGACATTTATAGTTGTATGCTTTTATCGCTTCAGATTCCTCAGACAAATATTGGTACTTCTCAACCAATGGATTGCATGGCTTGGGACAGGCAGAAATTATTATTCTGTTACTATGTTTGCCAAATGAAGTTACTATCCCAAAGGACATCTTCAAACTGTTTATCACCATCTATAAGGATGCTCTGAAAGGTGTAGCATTTTATTTTGAACTATGCAGACTGGGGAATGGATAAATTAAAGTCATTTATGCTTTTGGCTATGCTAACTGTATTAAAGATTTATTTTGTGAATAGATTGCTGATTTCTTAAAAGATTTTAGTCGTTATTTTCAGTCTCCTTAAATCTAGCATTTTATGTAATTACTATCTTACAGTTTTTTAAATTTTAAAAAAGGAAATATATTTGCTGCCTTGATTTTTTTTTATACTTGTCTATATACATATCTTTATAAGATTGAGGTGGACATGATGAATTTTCACATGGTCATGCAGTAAAGGGAAAAATTTAAAACCACCCATGGTTAGAACAATTTTTAAATTTTTGTTCACCATTTCCAACTTCCAGGAATAACTGAGCTTTGTGCATACAAGTTACTCAATAGATGCTTCTTCAAGAGTGGAAATAAAAAAAATTCCATATCGCTGTTATTTAAGAAAGTTTATACTGAGACATTCAAACTCAGAATGCCTTTTAAAACAACTTAAAATCTTTTTTATTCATGATTTTATTTCCAGGAAAATACATAGAAAATTTGGACAATATTACTTTTACTGAGAGTTTTCTCAGTAGCAAGGATCATGGAGGATTTCTGTTTATTACACCTACTTTTCAGAAACTTGATGATCTGCTATTACCAAGTAATCCTTTTCTTTGTGGAATTCTTATTCAGAAGCTAGAAATTCCCTGGGCAAAGGTTTTTCCTATGCGTTTAATGTTGAGATTGGGTGCAGAATATAAAGGTAAGTTTTAGAATAATAAGTTAAATCACATAGGTTCAAATGTACTAAATATAAAATAAGAATTTCAGGGATATCATTAAAATCAAAATTGATTTAAGGGGACTGTTTTTGTTCTGATATACTTTTAAAATTCTAAGATAGAATTTTACCAAATAAGTTGACTAGACAGCCTTGGTATGTCACGAAGGTTCTAGATGTTCATAATTATATTAACTTACCTTAAAAATTTTTTTAAATTTCAGAACAAAATTTTGAAACATTGGAAAGTTTTCTTAAAAGCTCATATTATAGGGAGTTCATTTTGTTATGTTTCTTACATTTTAAGAAGGTAAATGATTTCTTCTCTGAATTAGTGTACATCATAAAAGCCAGATATGAAGGATTGTGAATAATGGTCCCAGTTTATGGTTATTTCTAAGTCAAAATCATTTTTAGTGTTAAAATTTTTGAATTCTCACCCTTTTTCCCTGACTTTTTTCAAGAAATTATTTATTACATGTAAAGTGTATCTAATGAAGTTTTAGGCATTTGATTCTAATATAATTAAATAGGTATTTTCTTGGAGGAAAATTAAATGTAGGAGATTTACAAAATATTTCAAAATGGACAAATTCAGTGAAAGAGATATAAATCTATTTGGCAAATTTATTAAACTCTTTGATTTTGGAGGAGCAGTCTTTACCATTTAGGATTGATTTATTTAAGATTCATTTAATTTTTTGGAAGATTTTATTTATTTATTTATTCATGAGAGACACAGAGAGAGAGAGAGAGAGAGAGAGAGAGAGGCAGAGGCACAGGCAGAGACAGAAGCAGGCTCCATGCAGGGAGCCCAGAGTAGGACTCGATCCCGGGACCCCAGGATCACACCCTGGGCCGAAGGCGGCACTAAACCACTGAGCCACCCAGGCATCCCAAGATTTATTTATTTATTTTAGGGGGCGTTAAGAGCGCATGTGAGCCAGGGGAGGGGCAGAGGGAGACAGAGAATCTTAAGCAGACTTCCCACTGAGGGTAGAGCCTGGCTCAGGACTGATCTCAACTGTGAGATCATGACCTGAGCTGAAACCAAGAGTTGGACACTTAACCATCTGAGCCACCCAGGCAGCCCACCATTTTAGGATTTAAATATATAATGCTGTTGTGTAAGAAGTGTCAAAATTTTTCATCTCAGGTGTTTTACAGGGTAAACTACAGAGCTTAAGAAAGTTTATTTTGCGTTGTTTCATCCATTCAGCCTGATATTTTGCCTCTGCTAAAAATGTTTTGAATCCTATTTTTATGGAAAGTTAGGTCAAAAGTAATCTTAAGTCATTATGGAACATGTAATTAGGTCAAAATAATCTTAAGTCATCATGGAACATATAATTTATAAGTTTGACCAGTGTTTTGGTCAGTATCACTTCTAGATACTAAATCTGTTTTTCTCACACACGAAGGAGAATCATGAAGCAACTTATGGGACTTCTTAAAAGATCACAGGGGTTTGGAGCTGCAAAGCTAGGATAGCTGTTGAATGACCATGAGGATAATAATCACCAGTTATACAGGTTTTTCCCACCATTCAAAAGTAGAACATTCCTATGAAACCTTTTATAAGCCAAAATGGCTTTTAATTCAAAGAAACCATTACCATGTCTTTTTTGTTGTTGTTTAAAGATTTATTTATTTGAGGGGGGGAGCAGAGAACGGGGGTACAAGCAGACTCTGCACTGAGAGTGGAGCCTGATCCAGGGCTCAATCTCATGCACTGAGTCAAAATCAAGAGCCGAATGCTCAAACAGCTGTGCCACCCAAGCACCGCAACCATTACAATTTCCTAAACACAAAAATCTGTTTCATATTTCAGTTAGTGAAAACAGGTCTTTTGTAAAAGCAAAGTGGTTAAAGCAAACTTTTGGTTGGGGGGGAAACCTGTACATAGAAGTTAATTAGTCTTAGCTGTTTTTTGAGTTCATTGTGTACTGCTGGATTTGAAATATACTGACATTTTGATGTTATTGGTGCCCATGCCTCTAGATACGAACTTGGAAGTGTGATATGTGTATATGTATTTGTTAGAGATAATGGATATATAGAAGATCTAATGACAAAAGTTAGAGACCCAAGATTGAAAACTGAAAATAGTGGTCCGAAATTAGTAATGTTCAAGTGGGGATTATCTACACTTGCGTTGAGACTATTTGGAATAGCATTCACTATTGGATTAGATGATTTATAAGGGGGACGCCTGGTGGCTCGGCGGTTGCGCATCTGCCTTCAGCTGATGTTGTGATCCCAGGGTCCTGGAATCGAGTCCCACATTGGGCTCCCCATGGGGAGCCTGCTTCTCCCTCTGCCTGTGTCTCTGCCCCTCTCTCTGTGTCTCTCTCATGAGTAAAATTTTTTTAAAAAAATCTTTTAAAAAAAAGATTTATAAGGTCTCTCTATAACTCTGACAGAGTATCTTTCTAAGTTATAACCTTTCGAAAATACTGTTTCAAATAAAATGACCTCAATCAAGTTGTTAAGGATGCTCCTTCATTCATAAAAGATGGAGTAAAAAGGCACCATTTATCTTAATCATATCTATTATCATTTTAATATTTTTTATCACTAATGTCTTTTTTTTTTTTTTTTTTACAATCTGCACCCTCTGTCCTCTAAATAATGTAGTTATCCTCTTAAAAACTAAAAAATAGGGGCTCCTGGGTGGCTCAGTCAGTTAAGCATCTGACTTTGGTTCCAGTCGTGATCTCAGGGTCCTGGGATTGAGCCCCATATTGGCCTCCTGGGAAGGGAGTCTGCCTCTTTCTCTGCTCCTCCACTCCTCGCCCACTTGTGCTCTCTGACTCTCAATAAATTAAAAAAAATTCTTAGAAAACAAAACAAAACTAAAAAATATGTTGGTAATAACAAAGATGTGAGTTACTATGACTTAAATTTTAAAAATAGATCATGTCATGTAATGTATTTTCTTAGAATTTTAAGGAAGTATATTGATATATAAAAGGTATGAGAGAGGTTTGTTTGCTTAATGACCTAGGCTGAGAACTGAAGTGTAGAAAGCCTTCTGCTTTTTATCATTATAGAAATGTCTTACCTTCCTCTTTCCACCTTTTCTTCCAGAAGCCCTTGTACATTTTCAACCGAATACTTTTTCCTTTTTAGTGAATAATATTTATAGAAAGAGAAAGAAATATTTAAAGAAAGAGAAAAGTAGTCAGGTGATAGACTCCATGTTCGTTCTATTTCTCTACATTGCCTTCTCTGACTCTGTGTGCCCCTTTTACCATGCTGACCCAAGAACTATAATAGTTTCCTTACCATCTATAAATTAATACAATTGAGCATTCCTTAAAAATCTTGAATTCTTCATATTTTTCTTTAAATTATCAGAACTTTATAGAGTTCTATCCAGTTACTGTAATTTTCCAGCCATTATCATTTTCTGGGAACACCGTGTATAATGAAAAGATTAAGTGCTTTGGAATCAAGCAAGCCTAATTTCAAATCTATTTCACTGGTTATTAACTTAGTCACCATAAGCAAGTTTAATAATCTCTATGTCTTTACTATCACATCAGTAAAGTAGGAATAGACTTATTTGCCTCACTGGGTTGTTTTAGGGCTTAAATAAGATCATGTATGTAAAGTTCCCAGTTCAGTGTAGTATCCAGTAAATACATACTGTAGGTTAATGTATCTTTCATTTTCCCCAAATGATTATTAGGTGGTATTTATCCATAATGTTTGAGAAATGAGAATTAAAAGTAATAAATTCAAGACTTTTTGGGTTTTTATTGAAAGTAACCAGTTTTCCTTTCTTGTGTATAGCATATCCTGCTCCTCTAACGAGTATCAGAGGTCGGAAACCTCTTTTTGGAGAAATAGGACACACTATTATGAACTTGCTTGTTGTGAGTAATCAAACTATTAAGTGTTTTTACATTGTTACTTTAAAATTTTATTTAGGATATTTTACACATAATATTTATAACAATAAATTTACATTTATTTAGCATATTTTCCTATTTTAATTTGGTATAATGTAAGTTAATTTATAATATAAATTTATTTAGCATAAGTGGGCTCTGTTTTAAGCAAATTGCTTTTTAGGACACATCTTCTAATTTATGTGTACCTGATTGTAATTATCTTTTGATTCATTCTGCTGTGGTTTTTTTCACATTTAGGTAATGTGAGATCTGCACAGTTTTAGTGTCAGTAAAAGTGTGTTAGTATACTAAGTTAGTTTGGTGATTTTGAGCAAATTGTAGCCCAGGTTTCCTCATTTGTAATGGGAAGAATTGAATTAAATAATCTCAGGTTCCCTTCTACCTACCTCTTTTTTCTGTAATTGTATTATCTGTAACCGTAGAAAAGTATTTGAGTGGACTTTCGTTTATACAGGTTTACTGAGAAGACTTATTTTGGAAGATCTGTAATTAGAAAGAGATTACCCCCAGATAGTACAGAATTCTTCCTGAGAATGATATTCTTTATTTCTATTGTGGAGTAGTTGGAAGGATTAGTTGTTTTTTTCAGTTGATACTGCTTTCTGGGTGGCATTTTGATAGTTATGTATCTACCACAAGTCTTAAAATGATGGACACTCTTAAAAAAGGATTTAATGAGTAGATAAAATGCTAATGGATAATTTAAGGCTTATGGAAATATCATTATTTTATATGTAGGACCTTCGGAATTACCAGTATACCTTGCATAATATAGATCAGCTATTGATTCATATGGAAATGGGGAAGAGCTGCATAAAAATACCTCGGAAAAAATACAGTGATGTAAGTTTAACTTCTTCATGCAGATTTTAAAGATAACTATTGAACATTAGATTTCTTTAAGATGTGTTAAATTGGGCAGCCTGGGTGGCTCAGTGGTTTAGCACTGCCTTCAGCCCAGGGCGTGATCCTGGAGACCCAGGATCGAGTCCCACGTCGGGCTCCCTTTTATTAATGGACAAAATAAAAAATAAAAAAATAAGATGTGTTAAATTTATTTTGAATCAGACTGTCTAATACATAATGGCAAAAAATATTTTTGAAATTTTAGATTTGTTTTCTAATAAGGGACTTGTTTTTTGTTTTTTATTTTTTTAAAATGTTAGTTATTCATGAGAGACACAGAAAGAGAGAGAGGCAGAGACATAGGCAGAGGGAGAAGCAGGCCCCAGCGGAGATGCCGACATGGGACTCGATCCCAGGACCCCGGGATCATGCCCCGAGCCAAAAGCAGGAGCTCAATCCCTGAGCCACCCAGGAGTCCCAAGGGACTTGTTTTAATCCTGTTTTTTACAACTTTTTCTTTACCATTTTATCTATTAATTGAGGTGATTTTTATCTTAAAACGTATGTTTCCATCACATTCTTAGAGTTGTCCAGACCAGAGCTTGATAATTATGAAGCAGGTCAGAAATGTGGCCCTTTGAATGATTGTAACTAATAAAGAAATAACATGTTAGTAGTGTTTCTAAATAAGTATTGTTTTTTTTTCCAGGTAATGAAGGTTATAAATTCTTCTAATGAGCATGTCATTAGCATTGGAGCCAGTTTTAGTACTGAAGCAGATTCTCACCTAGTCTGTGTACAAAATGATGGCATTTATCAAACACAGGCCAACAGTGCTACTGGCCATCCTAGAAAAGGTAAGTGTTGATTCCTAGTATTAGTCTGTAAAACTACCTCAATATATGGAATTCCTTTCAAAGGGGAAATATATATATTTTTTACTTATTTGCTAAATTGATGGTAATAATATAGTATGCTTTAAAATTTTAGCTAAACAGATTAAAAATAGTTTCTAATTTGTTTTGTTTTTTTTTTCCCTTGGGCTACATTAGGTTTAAAGACTTGAACACTGTGTTTATCTTGGTATCTTCAGGTTTAATTTATCCCATATGATGGGACTCTTATTTTCAGTAATTTCTCTCTGGAATGAGGTGTTTGTCACTTTTGTTTGCTCTCTGTTCTAACTCCTTTTAGGAGAGTATAGTTTGGATAAGGATGAAGAATGATTTATAAAACTATAAGTGGTTGGGGATCTAGAAATGGTAAAGATGGTGGAGCAGCATATGTGAGTAACATTACTCTCAATTCTGGCTGAATGGCTTCAGTGACTACTGTGATTGCCAAATCCTTGCAATAGAGGGCCTAACAAATTGAAAGTTAAGTGGAGATGAGTATTCATAAAATTAATACATTTTAAAATAACACTTAAAATAGTCTGACATAGGGATCCCTGGGTGGCGCAGCGGTTTGGCGCCTGCCTCTGGCCCAGGGCGTGATCCTGGAGACCCGGGATCAAATCCCACATCGGGCTCCCGGTGCCTGGAGCCTGCTTCTCCCTCTGCCTATGTCTCTGCCTCTCTCTCTCTCACTGTGTGCCTATCATAAATAAATAAAAAATTAAAAAAAAATAGTCTGACATGCTGCTGGCTGCTAATAAAATAGCAGCCTTTGATTATAAGGGTAATATATACTTACATGCTAAGTTTGGAAAATATGTTTTAAAAAGTAACAAAAAAATATGGCCTTTATGGACATTTAAATATATTTCCTGCTTATATTAGTATATATCTATTAAATAGATGGTTTTATATTGGATATTTACACTTTTGTATTTTTCTAACTTATGTCAATACTTTTGTTATTAAAATGTAACAACTATTTAATATTTGTTTGTTGAATAAGTATATGTATTATGAAATTTGAAAGGTATAAGTGGAAAATCTCCTTTCCTCCCTGGATGCTGAGGCTACCCTTTTCTCTTCCCTACAGGCAACCAAAACCAATGTTATCAGTTTTTTGTATATCCTTTCAGAAACATTTTTGCTTGCAGGAATATGCAAACAAACACATATTTTTCTACTTTTTAATTTTTATTTTTATATATTTTTTAATTTTTAGGAAATTTCTTCCACTTTTTTAAACAAGTCCTAACATGTATTCCATTCTTGCTTTTTCTTAATACACCTTGGAGATGATTCTGTTAGTATAAAAAGAACTTCTGCATTCTACATAACTTTTCACTTTATATGTGTACATCATTTAATTGTCTCTTACTTAACGGACAATAGTTGTTACCAGTTCTTGTTTATTTATAAAATTGAACTGTGAAACCTTGTATATATATGTGCCATTAATTCCTGGTTGTAGAATTGGTGTGTCAAAGGATATGTGTAGTTATAATTTTAATAGGTAATTATCAAGTTGTCTTCCATAGAAGTTTCTCTGATTTGTGCTTTTACCAATGATGGATATTTGATTTCCCATACTCTCTCACTGGCACAAATACAAACATTTTAAGTAGTACAAAGCCATCAATTATTATATACAAATATTATATAGCCTTTATGCAATATTTTATCTTAATTTGGTTTAGTTTGGGGTTTTTTTATTAGCTTTCTAATATAAGTGGTATGGGCATGGCATTTATCAAGTAGTTAAGTGTACCATGCTCCACATTATACATTTAACAAATATATAGCATTTTAAAAAGGCAAGTTAAAACATAAATGTATTTTTCTGATCAGTGACAGGTGCAAGTTTTGTGGTATTCAATGGAGCTCTAAAAACATCTTCAGGATTTCTTGCTAAGTCCAGCATAGTTGAAGGTATGAGTTTCATCTTTAGGATTGTTTTAATGTAAAGATGTTTTCCATTTACTTTTAAAATGTATTTGATACTTTAAAAGAACGTATGTAAGTTACAAAGCACAGTACCACAAACTTAAGTGAAATCTTTACCCAGGGGCAGCCCAGGTGGCTCAGCAGTTTAGCGCTGCCTTCAGCCCAGGGCCTGATCCTGGGGACCCGGGATCGAGTCCCACGTCTGGCTCCCTGCATGGAGCCTGCTTCTCCCTCTGCCTGTGTCTCCGCCTCTTTCTCTCTCTCACTCTCTTTGTGTCTGTCATGAATAAATAAAATCTTTAAAAAAAAAATCTTACCCAGCTCAAAAACTAAAACATGACCTATATTTGGGTCTGTGTTAAGCATGGCAGCTCTGCCATAACCTGCTCTTCCTGCCTGTACAGAGCCTACAAGTCAGTCTGAGGTGAGAGCTTACGGTATTTCTTTAGCATGCACACACCCTGAGCATGTACACAGTATTGTACATGTGTGTGGCTTCCTAAATTCCCAAAAGTATGTTAAAGCTTTTCAAAGCCCTTAGGGACATCTCATTCTTCAGCTTTTCCTTTTAAGTATTTGGTTGGCCTATTTACGTCTACTATAATCTGCTGCCACAGGTAGCTGAGATGTTAATCATTGGGTTTTGATTTTTTTTGACAGATGCACCCTGAGAAAAGACTTTTGCACTAGGCAAAATACTCAACAAGGCAAAAAATGATACTTCTCTGATAATGAGACTTTGAAAGGGCTCCAACCTCCTTTTAGCCTTTCTGGTGGCTACCAGGCTATTGATTTTCACCATGATTGCAGGCTATTGGTTCTTAAGGCTTCCACTAAGCTAGAGAGGAAGGAATGGGAATAAATTAACACAAAGCACAAAGTTTGCTGTTCTTATGAAGATCCAGCCATTTTTCTTGAATAAATACTCCACAGATTGCTGCAAGCCTTTGGTTAATTTCCAGAGCTCTGAAAAAGTTTTTTCTGTTAATTAGTTTCGTTGTTCTTATTTTGGAGGAGAGTATTTTTGGAGGTTCTTTAGTCTGCTCTTTCACTAATGTCGTTCTCCATACTATTTCAAACAGCTTTATAGGAAGTCCTCCCATCTCTGAGCCACACACATATTTTATTCCTGTATTTTTATTTTATAATCAGCTATACTGCTGAACTCTTAATTTAAAATAATTTACCTATAGATTCTTTTAGAGTTTCTGTGTAGCTCAGTATATCATCATTTAATAATGGTAATTTTGTTTCTTTCTTTGCAGTCCTTATGGCTTTTATGTTTCTTGTTTATTGGCTAGGTTTTCCAGTTGAAGCAGTGATTGCAAATGCTCTTGTCTAGATCCATTTTTGTCAAATAATACTTTCTAAAAATAAGTGAGTTTTTATGATTCAATTTGGTATGCCATATCTGTCCTGATGATGATGATGTGAGGTATCCAATTACATTTTTCTTATTTCTTATCACATATCTTAAAGCTTTTTTATGTTTTCTGTTTTGTTTGTTTTTCATCATAAGTGTAACTCTTCAATCCCCATCACCTATTTCACCCATTCCTCCCTCCCTCCTCTCCTCAAGTAACCATCAGTTTCTTCTCTATAGTTAAGATCTGTTTCTCAGTTTATCTTTTTTTTCCTTTGCCGATTTGTTTTGTTTCTTAAATTCAACATGTGAGTGAAATCGTACGGTATTTGTCTCTCTCTGACTTATTTTGCTTAGCGTTATACTCTGTAGCTCCATCCACGTTGTTGCAAATGGCAAAATTTCATTCCTTTTTATGATTAATACTCCATTGTGTGTGTATGCATACACATATACGTAGCACATATTCTTTATCTATTCATCTTTTGATGGACACTTGGGCTGCTTCTGTAGTTTGGCTGTTGTAAATAATACTGCTATAAACAAAGGGGGGGGTGCATATATCCCTTTGAATTAGTGTTTTTATATTTTGGGGGTAAAATACGCAATAGTGCAATTACTGGATTATAGGGTAGGTCTGTTTTTAATATTTTTAGGAACCTCCATACTGTTTTCCACAGTGGCTGCACCAGTTTGCATTCTCACCAACAGTGCATGAGGGTTCCTTTTTCTCTACATCTTTGCCAAACCTTGTTTCTTGCATTGTTGATTTTAACCATTCTGACAGGTGTGAGGTAATGTCTCATTATGGTTTTGATTTGAATTTTCCTGATAATTACTGCTGTTGAGCACCTTTTCATGTGTCTGTTGGCCATCTGGATGTCTTCTTGGAGATGTGTTGGTTCATGTCTTCTGCCCATTTTTAACTGGCTTATCTGTTTGCTGGGTGTTGAGCTACATAAGTTCTTTATGTAGTCTCTTCAATAAATGGTGTTGGGGAAGCTGGACCACTTTATTATACCATACATAAAAATAAACTCAAAATTGCTTAAAGATCTAAATGTGAGGGATGCCTGAGTGACTCAGTGGTTGAATGCCTGCCTTTGGCTCAGGGTGTGTTCCCGGGTTTGAGTCCCACATCAGGCTCCTTGCAGGGAGCCTGCTTCTCCCTCTGCCTGTGTCTCTGCCTCTCTCTGTGTGTCTCAGTTGTATAGAGGCTCACATGATTTTGTGGTTCTCTCTGATAATTTTTGATTATGTACTTGTCATTGTTAATATGTTTTAGAGACTTTAGATCCTATTAGCTTTTTTTGAAGAAGGCTTATTTATGTTTAAGCAGGCATTTTTATGTATTCTGTACTTTTCACTTTGTTAACAGATGAATCTATGGAACTCCTAAGGTGTTTACAATCTGGCAGGACTCATTCTCTAAATCCATTTTGCCTATAGATTTTGTAAGGGCTTTGTTTTTGCTTTGCCACAGTGCAAGTTAATGAGGTATCTCTACTGTGGTTGCATCAGACTGTCAATATCCTCCATCATTGCTTGATTTCTAGTATCTCTGTTCTGGTCCCAACCCAAATAGCTGTTCCCTATTAGGCCTTATTTAGTCTCACTTTATTAACATGTCCTCAGTTCTAGTTCAAGGACTCAAAGGGACCCTTATTCACAGTCTCCTGGTGCCTTCCTTTTCAATGTTCTGACCCCAGATTCCAGGCTTCTCCAAGCTTATCTCTGATTTCCCAGCCCAATGTGGCCATTGTAGGTTTAATAGGTCACCATGTGGAAATTGTCTCAAAACAAAGAGCCTGGGCAATTAAATTGTAGGCTTACTTGTTGAATTTTTCTCTGGGAACCAAAGTATCATATTTCCTGTTGTTCAGTACCTAAAAACAGTTGCCTTATACATTTTATCTGGTTTTATGGCTAGGCAGTTATTAAAGGGCAGTTTGTCATCCGTAGTTTCATTATGGTCAGTAATGAAAAATATCACCATTATTTGTGTAACTGTTTAAAAAAAAGGATAATCCTTAACTTTGAAATATTTTTCATATTTCCTAGTAGAAAACAATCATTAAGATTATTTAACAGATGATATGGAACTTTTATCTTAGAACATACTTTGATAGCAAATTTTATGGGTTAGACCTATAAATTGATATTTAATAAAAGGAATGTGAAACATAAATCATTTTTAGATGGCTTAATGGTACAAATAACGCCAGAGACCATGGATGGCTTGCGGCTTGCTCTACGAGAACAGAAAGACTTTAAAATTACATGTGGGAAAGTTGATGCTGTAGACCTAAGAGAATATGTGGATATCTGCTGGGTAGATTCTGAAGAAGAAGGAAACAAAGGGTATGAATTTTTTTTTTTTTTTTTTTTTTTTTTTTTTTACTAAAATATAATTGAGGGGCACCTGGGTGGTTCGGTTGGTTAAGTGTTCCCCTTCAGCTCAGGTCGTGATCCCAGGGTCTTGGGATCTATCTTAAAAAATAATAAAAAATAAAATGTAATGGATTTGATGGAGGGGGAAGGATAAAAATATCTTGCTAGCAAACTAAGCATTTTCTGAGTAAATATAGAATTATACCATTAATTTAAATGCTTGTATGCTAGTAGTCTGTTTTTTCAAACATGTACCTAACCAGTCTCGTGTATTTTCTTGGCCAGGATACTGTAAACTATTAAAGGGTGGTCAGTTTGGGAGGGGACAGTGATAAAATGTGCTTATGTAGTAGTGTGACTTTGATGCCAAGGTTTTGGAAGGCAAGATACCTTTTCTGTTTTTTCATATCTATTTTTGTGAAGTAAGTAAAACATTCCTTTGGATGTTTATTCTGTACTATATTGGTTCACTTAAATATAACAACTGAGGGACACCTGGGTGGCTCAGTGGTTAAGCGTCTGCCTTTGGCTCAGGGCATGATCCTGGCGTCCTACGATTGAGTCCCACATCGGGCTCTCTAAATGGAGCCTGCTTCTCCCTCTGTCTGTGTCTCTGCCTCTCTCTCTCATGAATAAATAAAATCTTTAAAAATATATGTAACAACTGAATTTAATAATACATATATTGGAGGTCTTATAGAATATTCCTGCCACTCCTTTTTTTCAATTACCATTTTTTTTCTTTTTTGGAGATTGGCTCAAAGGTCTGGATTAAAGAAGGAAAAAAATAGCTTAATGCTGAGGGATTCCAAAATAAAGTTTTTTAAATTCATGCAACAGCTTTTCTGTTAGGAAACTAAGGCATTTTAAACCTGAGATCTAAACTGGGCATAAGAAGGAGTAGATATTATTTGCTGTCCAATGAAGAAATTTTGGTAAATGAATGGACTATAGTTTTAATTATTTTGTATGTAATTGAGTTACCTTAGTGCTATAAATTTATATTTTTAGTATTTTTCTCCTTATTTGTTCAAATCTAATAATTCATTTCATAGAAAGCATTTTGGTACTAGTAATACTACTGTATTATGTTTTATTCTATAGTGTTATTAGTTCAGTGGATGGGATATCATTACAAGGATTTCCAAGTGAAAAGATAAAACTGGAAGCAGATTTTGAAACCGATGAGAAGACTGTAAAGTGTACTGAGGTGACTAAGAAAGATTCCTTCCCTTTATGTGTTGTGTTTGGATGTGGGGTTTTGTTTTGTTTTGTTTTGTTTAACTTGGGAGATTTCTCATTGCAGTTTATTAATACTTTTTACATTATATCTGGAAACACACACATATTTTCACCCCACACTGCCTTCTTTATACCAGATTTGGATTTCCATAAGATTATTTCAGGCTCTTGTATGGTGGTACTCCCTGCCAGTTTACAGTTAAGTTTTGGAAGCATTGCCATCTTTATACAGCTTATATATTTGACCATGTTATTTTCATTTTTCTCTTATTTTACAAAATTATTTTTAATTTACATATATTTATTTACTTATTTATTTTAAGTAGGCTCCACGCACAGTCTATTTAATGCAGGGCTTGAACTCATGATCCCAAGATCAAAACCTGAGCTAAGATCAAGAGTCAGATGCTTAACTGAGCCACCCAGGCACCCCCCAAAATAAACTATTGTATAGATACCAGTTTATAATCAGCATTCACAAATGAAATTATTTTTGCATGTCCCAACTTTTTTTAAACTAAAAGGATATGAAATTATTGACTCTCAACTCCTTAGTCTACCTCCGTACTCCTTCTCACTCTGCCTCCAGGGTCAGGCAATCAGTGTTACTAATTTCTTTTATATTCCCTGTGAGTCTATGTATGTACAATATGGATAGAAACTATAGAGGATGTAGAAATTATAGAACATTATTTTTTTGTTTGATCTTAATTTCATTAAGATGTCCTTACAGGAAGGTGAGCTTATAGGGTGGACTCAGTATACTTTTCTAAACTGAATTAACAGAGCTTTTGTTGCTACAGGTTAATTTTAGGTAAAAATAGCTAAGTCATACCATATTCCATAATCTTTGGTTTTAAGCTTTTACTACCCACGGATCAAGATATATTTACAGGGAGGATCCCTGGGTGGCCCAGCTGTTTAGTGCCTGCCTTCAGCCCAGGACGTGATCCTGGAGTCCTGGGATCGAATCCCACGTCGAGCTCCCTGCATGGAGCCTGCTTCTCCCTCTGCCTTTCTCTCTCTCTCTCTCTCTCTCTCTCGCTCGCTCTCTCTGTCATGAATAAATAAATAAAATCTTAAAAAAAAAAAAGATATATTTACAGGGATGCCTGGGTGGCTCTGCAGTTGAGCATCTGCCTTTGGCTCAGGGCGTGATCCCGGAGTCTTGGGATCGAGTCCTACATCGGGTTCTCTGCGGGGAGCCTGCTTCTCCCTGTGCCTATATCTCTGCCTCTCTGTATTTCTCATGAATAAATAAATAAAATTTTTTTTAAAAAGATATATCTATTTACACATAGTGTTTTGTTTTGTTTTTTTTTCACATAGTGTTTTTAACTAATGAATTTCTTTGCACTAACTTTGGAATTTTATTAATTTTATTAATAAAGTTGAATTGAAAGTAGCAATTTTTAAAGCTGCTTTTAATCTTAATCATGACTTGTTTCCTAATTAAATACATTTCAGGTATTCTACTTTCTAAAGGACCAGGATTTATCTGTTTCAGCAACTCGTTATCAGTTTGCAAAAGAAATAGCCATGGCTTGTAGTGCTGCACTGTGCCCTCATCTGAAAACTCTAAAGAGTAATGGGATGAATAAAATTGGCCTCAGAGTTTCCATTGACACTGATATGGTGAGACGTGTTTTTGTGATGTATTTTTGAAATGAATGTATCATATATTAAAAGAATCAAAAGTTTCTTATTTAATCCTTTATTTGGGATGAATGAAGAAAACTAAAATTTGTTGAACATAAGCATGTGCTACACACTTCCTGTACATTATCTCCTTTACTCTTCACACCAGGGGTCAGCAAACTTTCTTGTAAAAGGCCAGATAGTAAATATTTTAGGCATTGTGGGCATATGATGTTTTTTACAACTATTCAGTCCTGCCATTATAGTACACAGGTGGCCATAGACAGCTCATATAAACTAATGAGCTCACTATGTTCCAATGAACCTTTGTTTACTAAAACAACTAACTGGTGGGTCAGATTGGCCCATAGGCCATAGTCTGTTGACCTCTGCACTGTAGTAATCCTGCTTGACAAGTAGGTTTTTAATTTTTTCATTCTGACTTTATTCTATATTCACATGATTTAAAATTACAAAAGTCTAAAAGTGTTAAAAAAGAAAAAGTTAGTCTTTTCCATCCTATGTAAGGAAAAACCAGTTCTTCCCTATGTCTTTCTTTTTTGTGAGTCCTTTACTACTCATAGAAAATATTTCATTTCTGACACTTGTAGTCACCAGATATGTAGAGGGTTTTCTCCCTATCAACAGGTAGGTAGTTCTCAGACACCAGCAGGATATCTAGGAATTCAACTCAGTTTTGACACCATCTACTCAGATAGCATCAGATCCTACAGGTTAAGGGTTCAGTCCTACAAGACTGTACTCTCACACCCCTTCAGATGCTGATTAAAAGCCCAAGTTATTGACTATGCTTCTGACCAGTCAGCTATAGATCAGAAGTTCTAACAACTCCCTCCTTGGATTTAATTAATTTGCTAGAGCAGCTCGCAGAACTCAGGGAAACACACATGTTAACCAGTTTATTAAAGGATATACAGGAAAAGATATACTCATAGGGTGAGGTTTGGGAGGTTCTCCAGCATAGGTACTTCTGTCCCAGTGGAGTTGGGGTGTATCACCCTTCTGGTGTGGGTGTATTAGCTGGCCTAAAGCTCTCCAAACCCCCCACTATAGGGATTTTATGGAGGCTTCCTCATGTAGGCATGATTTAACTCCATTTTTTAACCCCTCTCCTCTCTCTCTGGAAGGTAAGGAGTAAGGGTTGAAAAATCTAGTTTCTAATCATATCTTGGTCTTTCTGGTGACCAGTCCCCATCCAGGAACCCACTCAGTCACCTCATTAGAACAACAGATATTGCTAGTGCTCTTATCACTTAAGAATGTATAAAGGGTTTTAGGAGCCCTGTGACATGGATGGTGTGAAATACAAATATTAGAACAAGAAATACTTAATCCCAGGGTTCTGGGATCGAGTCCCGCATCAGGCTCCCTGCATGGAGCCTGCTTCTTCCTCAGCCTATGTCTCTACCTCTCTCTCTCTCTGTCTCTCATGAATAAATAAAATCTTTTTAAAAAAGAGAGAGAACAGGGATCCTTGGGTGGCTCAGCGGTTTAGTGCCTGCCTTCGGCCCAGGGCGTGATTCTAGAGACCCAGAATCGGTCCCGCATCAGGCTCCCTGCATGGAGCCTGCTTCTCCCTCTGCCTGTGTCTCTGCCTCTCTCTGTGTGTGTCTCATGAATAAATAAATAAAATCTTTAAAAAATAACAATAAAACCTTGGTTTTCTAGATTGTTTATGTATGCATTGAGAAGAAACCTAAAGTATGAAATAGTGGCATTTAAACAATTTTATGATATCTGTTGGAGAGATAATTAAAATTTATATAGAAGATAAGAGAAGTATAGGAGAACGTGAAACATTTTTTGAGTGAATATGAAGTATTTTCTTAACATCCTTAAACTAAATGACATTTTTAAATAGTTCATATTCATGTGCTGAGCTAAACAAGATTTCTTACTTTCTAGAGTTGACTTACCAAGATTTTTTTTTTTCCAGGTTGAATTTCAGGCAGGATCTGAAGGCCAGCTTCTTCCTCAGCATTATTTAAATGATCTTGATAGTGCTCTAATCCCTGTGATCCATGGTGGGACCTCCGACTCTACTAGTTTACCATTAGAAATAGAATTAGTATTTTTCATTATAGAAAATCTTTTTTAGTGAAAGATGAGTCATATTATATATTGCAAACTAATTTGTTAAAACTACATTCACTAAAGCTGAAATGCCACAAACACTAAAAGTAAATGTTTGCTGTTTGAAACACGTAAGTTTTGCTTTTTAGGCAGGAAATTATCTTTTTAAATCATTAGCACAATATTTAAATCTCTAAAAACTTAAGAGACCCCCAGTTTTTGAAGCTTTGACTTACTGCAAGTACTAAAAAGACAAAGATTTCTTTTGTCTTAAATAAATTTGTAGCATTTACTGTGTCATTTAAATGCAAAGCCAAAGTATCTGCACTTATGTATACCTCGTTATACCAAGAATGATTTTAATGAAGGCTTTTTCCAGATATAACCTTATGAGGGAAATAGCTGTTATATATGCCAGTTATATTGCTGGTTACTAAAGTCTGTTAAAAATGAATTTCAGTGACACGATTTTCAGATCTTAGTCTTATATGATAATTCTTTGAGTAAGATAATTTATTTGTAATAATTGGAGTGGAGATCTACCTCCATGATTAGATAAACTCTGATTATTTGGATTAAAATCAGAATTTTGCCTTCTTTTCTTCTCAAATTATATATATATATGGTTTTTTTCTTGATTAAATGGGTATTCTTAAAATAATTGTGGGTGCTTCAGAATTTTGTGCTTCTATATTTAAGTACATTGTTTTTATAGCAAAAACATGATTCAGTATGTGTTTTATAAGTCTTTAATAATTTATAAATAGGTGATATTTTTGTATTGCAGTGCATTATTTTTCCTCTTTCCTTCGAAAATATACCCTACTTTATTTATCACTTTTAAGAGTGATTGACAACAGGCCATATGACCCTTGATGAAGACTTATGTAGCAATAAATTAAGCCTGAAACAGGTTTTTTTTTTTAAACTTCTTTACTTAACTTTCTTGGCAAGTCTGCATATTTTCATTGACACTAATGTATTAAATATACACTTTAATGAACTAATTTTTGCATATTTTAAATTCTTTATATGATAGTTATTTTTTATAACAGGATATTAACATAAGTTAAATTCTATGTATTTGAAACTGTTACAGAACTTTCCTCTTCAAACAGCAAAGTTTTAAGTACATTGTGTTAAAAAAAAAAAGTAAAGGGGATATTTTAGTTAGTCCTGTCATTTACATTATATAAAATATAATCATTATTTTGATGCTTTTTTTATTCTTATATGGCAATATGTTTTTGTATCAAAAACACTCATTATATATCTCAAGAAAAAGAAACTACACTACATAGCCCTGACATAAAAATACTTATGAAGCATCTCAATTTGATGACCAAATCAGGGTTATAACTCAGGATATGAGGTCTCAGGCTAGGAGAGACTGAGAATTTTGCTCCACTGGTCATATGGTTCGTACTGAATCACTGTAGTACTAACCAAAGATACCTTATGAAGGAGATTATCAGTCTTCTGGAAGTAGTTACTTCATAAACAATGTAAAATGTTGCAGCTATTAAATAAAATGGCAACACAAAGTAACCTGTGAAATTTATTGCTATGGTGTAAGATAAAAACAATTGCATATCAAACTCAGTTTATGTTTTCTTTATATAGTGTGTTTATTTTGCAGTATAAGTAGTTGCACAGTCTATATATACTGAAATTATTTTATTTATTTATTTTTTATTTTTAGTAATCTCTACACCACCCACCACCCTAAGATCAAGAGTCACATGCTCTTCTACTGAGCCAGCCAGGTGCTCCTGAAATTACTTAAAAATAACAAAATGGTGGAGAGCTCTTCCCACGATAGGATAGCTTTAGATTTATTTTCATAAAGCCTCTACATTTAATGAAAATTAGAAAATATGCCTTTGGAGGCACATTTTAAAGTATTATTTGTAGATATATAGTACGTTTCTGAATGTAGTTAACTTATTGGTCATATTCTTCACATTGGTACTTACTTTGAAACTTTAATTTTTTTAAAGGTGAAGAAATAAAATGGCTCTTTGTATTCAGTCCACAATGATCTGTTTTTGGTCTTAGGCTTTTTAATACTGGTCTCTTTCTCTGAATTTTGAAATATGAAATGAAATCTAGCCCACTTGTTCTATGCAGCCACACAACAAATTTTGTCTATATACTTGTTATGTGCAGAGCACTTTGTTAGGCTTCTCTGGTTGAAAGATGATTAAGATAGTTCTTTCCCTTAGGAGCTGAATATATGATGCAGATAATTAACAAAGTAAAAGTAACTGCTGTAATGGAGATATGAATGTTGACTACGTGGTTGGAAAGCAACCCAGAAGGATAGCCTCCTGAAGACAATAAGGAGAACTTGTTAGATAGTGGTCATTAAACTTGGCTAGGTAAGAGATAAAAACCCGAAAAGTAGGTAATATATAAAAAGATCGAACTTTCCCTTTTAAGACAATTTAAAGAGTTTTCTGTGTTATATGAATATCTTAACCTATGATTTAATCATAAAAGCAATAGCCTGACTATGGTGTCTCAACTGTCTAATTTTATAACAGCTTAGATTCAGATACTGTTTTATAAGTAAAGAATAGACTTTTCTTTTTTTAGTCACAAGCATAACTTTGATAACTTGACTCACATTTTAATAGATAATATCCTGAAATAAACCAGAAACCTACAAATCCATCTTAGGTTTTAATTTCTTTGTGATTAAAAAATGTTTTACATAGGAGATATATATATATATATATATATATATATATATATATATATACACACACACACATATATGTATGATTCAGAAATCAGAAAAATATAAAAAATATTTTAAAAATCAATATGCATTTTAACTTCCACCTTATATGTGTCTGCCTTGTTCTTCCTACCCTCCAATCTCAACCAGCTAATCATTTTTATTAGTTTCTTATGTCTTCCCACAGTTTAGGTGTAGTAGCAGCAAATACAAATAGATTTTTTTCCTCTTCTCATTTTTTATACAAAATGTAGCATGGTGTTTACATTGAAGAGCACATTCACTTCCTCAATTACTTTGAGTTATGAGGTTCATACCTAGAATCTTAAAGGTTTCATTCCTTCTCAGACCACTTTTACTCATGATTGATAAAAGCATATTAATTGCACAGAGGCAAGAAAAATTTTTTTACAGGAATTAGACCGTATGTTTCAAATAGGAAGACTATTTTTCTCATAACAAATTTTTTATTACTAAAATGTGTGCAAGTTTATTTTTTATTTATCTATGTTTAAAACCTCTATTTTTTTTCCTACCAGACACTAAGCCTTGCCATCTAAATTTATCTTTTACCACTTAACTGAGGTTTTTTTTTCACATCAGATTTTTAGTAATTTGAGATCTTTATATTCTTTCTTTCTTTTGGATATACCTTGGAACAATTTAATATTTAACACCTTTTGGGAAATATTTTGCACATCTGCATTGATAAAATTACAACCATATTTTTAGGCTTTATACAACTGAAAAACTGGGTTTAACTCAATGCTTTGTTATGAACCTCTGAGTATAAGAAAGGTTTTCTTTTTCTTTTCTTTTTTTTTTTTCTTTTGGTAAAATACAGTGCTTACCAGCCTCCAAGATAACCCCCTAGTGATCTCTGCCTCCTGGTATTGATACCCTTGTGTAGTCCCTTCCCACAAGACATTATTGGTCTTTGTGACCAATAAAATATGGCAGAAGGGTTAGGATATCATTTCTAAGATTATGTTGTAAAAAACTATCACTTCCATCTTTGGTACATTTCTCCCCACTTTCTTTTTGTCCCTTCTTATCCTTTCCTCTTCCCTCTGACCCTCACTCCCTGTTAGATCAACTCATTCTTAGGGAAGCTAGCTGCCAGGTATGCTCAGCCCCATGAAGAAGCCAACTTGGCAAGGAACTGAAGCCAACAGCCATATGAATGGAAGTGGATCCTCCAACGGCAGTCAAGCCTTCAAATTGCAGCGCTGTCAAAAGTTTGCAACCTCATAAGAACCACCAAACTAAACCATTCTCAGATTCCCAAATCTCAAAAACTGTGTAAGATAATAAATGTTTTAAGATGCTAAATTTTCTGGTGATTTGTTACATGCAGGAAATGAGATAACTAAGGTACTTCTATTTTTGAGCAGCTATACATAAAAATTGCTAAAACTGAGTAATTGCTAACAGAATTAAACATTTTCTATCAACATTTGTGTATTACATGCCACAAGTAGCATGTGCTAAGTGCCGAGAATACCAATAAAAAGAGTAGGGTTTGCCCAATTAGGAACAAACATGCAGCTCTGGGAAACTTCTTGTTTCTGGTAATTGCACACCAGGATACTTAGATCCATGCTCCTGCTGAAAACTGAAGGTGATTAAAATATAAAAATCATCTTAAAGCATATCAAGACTGTAAGGAATGTTCAGTCCAAAAGGAAAGAAAAAGGGAAGGGGATGTGGGGTCCTATTGAGACAATCTTATGGGGTGAGGGAAACAGACCAAAGTTCACAGCACACACAACGTTGTAAATCTAATCAGAATCATGAACGTAATGGGAACTCCCCCACAATAGGCTGAGATACACATATCCCCACTCTGCCAAAGGTTTATAGCCTCTGGATGAGGATGAATCAGAAATATAAAACTGTAGCCAAATTGAGAATTGCCTACATCACCTAAAGAATCTTAAGCATTTAACTTGCTTTAAGGTGGTTCCACATTGGTGATTCCTCTAGGTGCTAGGAGGAAAAAAAAAAAAAAAACAATCCTCTCTAGGAAGAGTTCATTGCAGGCCACAAACAAATTACTTTTCAAATATAACATTTACCAACACAGAGTTAAAATATAAATAAGTAGTCACATAAGGAAGTTGCTCTAGGGACGCCTGGGTGGCTCAGTGGTTAAGCAACTGCCTTCAGCTCAGGGAGTGATCCTGGAGTCCCCGGATCAAGTCCCACATCGGGCTCTCTGCATGGAGCCTGTTTCTCCCTCTGCTCTGCCTCTCTCTGTGTGTCTCTCATGAATAAATAAAATCTAAAAAAAAAGAAAAGAAATAAATTGCTCCAGAGACAAGATTTAGTAGAAATAAGGAAAATCTCCTTTAGGCAGGTATTAGATTTTTGCTTTGTTTCAAGAAATAGTCAAGTGTGTGGTACCTGTAGGGAATGGGAAACCATAAAAAGTAATGGAGCTAATTTGGGAAAGTAGTGAATACACATGTAACAAGAATATATAAACACTGAACTTTACTGAACTGTAAAGCTCTTAAATAGATTACTGGCAGAATACAGCCATTGAAGATAATTTATAAGCAGGGATTAAATCAGGAGAAATTATCCAGAGTGCAGCCTGGAAAAACAAAAAGAAGGAAAGATGGAAAAAAACTGACCTATAGAGCAGAGAGTGAGAAGTCCTAACATACACTTAATTAGCTGCAGAAGGAGAGACTAGGGCACAACAAATATTTGTAAATATAAACATTTCAAAGCCAATGAAAGACATTACTCCATAGACTTAAGAAGCTAGACAGATGCCAAAAAGAAAATTAAAAGGAATGACTATAGACACACAACAGGAAAACAGGAACAGCCCGTTGGCAGAGTCCAAGGAACAGCTCCCTCTAGTCAAACAGGAAGGTGGGTGGGGGCCCTGAGATCAACCTTTTGAATTTATCTGCCTTGCTCCAGGAGAGCTGCAGAAAAGCAGCACCCCTTCCTTACCATGTGCAAACCCTGTGAGGTGGAACCTTGCCATACACCAAACTAGAGACAGCAAAACAGCATCACTCTTCCGCTTAGTGATGCAGTAGGAGCAGAGAATCAGACACTGCAGGGTGGAACACTGGGAATGGTTGAAGGGAGGCTTAAAGACCTAACTTTCTACCAGAAGACCAAGGAGGAAGATCATAGGAAGAAACTAAAGAAAGTGAACCTCCAAATTTGTGTATAAAATACTAGGATCAGGGATCCCTGGGTGGCGCAGCGGTTTGGCGCTTGCCTTTGGCCCAGGGCGCGATCCTGGAGACCCGGGATCGAATCCCACATCGGGCTCCCGGTGCTTGGAGCCTGCTTCTCCCTCTGCCTGTGTCTCTGCCTCTCTCTCTCTCTCTCACTGTGTGACTATCATAAATAAAAATAAAAAAAATTTAAAAAAAAAAAATACTAGGATCACCCCAAGGTGTGCATGTGTGAAACTGACCAGAAGCAGCTGAGCAAATGTTTTGAACACTGAACTACACTGTAGGTCACTACAGGCATAACTCAGAGATATTGTGTATTCCATTGTGGACCACTGCAATAAAGTGAGTATTCCAATAAGGCAAGTCAAATTCTGAATTTTTTGGCTTCCCAGTGCATATAAAAGTTAGGTTTATACAGTATTATATAGTCCATTAAGTGTGCAATAGCATTATGTCAAAAAAATTGTACATACCTTAATTTTAAAATATTGGTGAAAAATGCTAATGATCACCTGAACTTTCAATGCATCATATATAGTCTTTTTGTTGGTAGAGGGTCTTGTCTGAATTTTTTTTTTCTTGTCTTGTCTGAATGTTGATGGCTACTGACTGATTGGAATGGTGGTTGCTAACGGTTGGGGTGGCTGTGGCAATTTCTTAAGACCACAAAGAAGTTTGCTGCACTGATTGACTCTTTCCTTTCACAATAAATTTCCCTATAGTGTGTGATACTGTTTGATAGCATTTCACCCACAAAACTTTTTTTATATAGATTTTATTTATTTATTCATGAGAGATGCAGAGAGAGAAAGCTAGAGACACAGGCAGAGGGAGAAGCAGGATCCTCGCAGAGAGCCCGATGCGGGACTTGATCCCGGGACTCCAGGATCACGCCCTGAGCCAAAGGCAGATGCTCAACCACTGAGCCACCCAGGCATCCTTACCCACAAAACTTTCAAAATGGGAGTTTATATGATCAAATCTACTACTTTGTCATCCAAGTTAATGTGACATTCTAAATCTTTGGTGTCATTTCAATAATCTTCCAGCATCTCCACCAGGAGTAGATTCTATTTCAAGAAACCACTTTCTTGGGATGCCTGGGTGGCTCAACGGTTAGGCATCTGCCTTTGGCTCAGGGAGTGATCCTGGAGTCCTGGGATTGAGTCCCACATCGGGCTCCCTGCATGGAGCCTGTTTCTCCCTCTGCCTGTGTCTGTCTCTCATGAATAAATAAATAAATAAAATCTTAAAAAAAAAACGCTTTCTTTGTTCATCCATAAGAAACAACTTCTCATTCATTCAAGTTTTATCATGAGATGGTAATAATTCAGTCACATCTTCAGGCTCAACTTCTAGTTCTCTTGCTGTTTCCACCATATCTGCAGTTACTTCCTTCACTGAAGTCTTGAACCCCTCCAAGTCATCCATGAAGGTTGGAATTAACTTATTCCAAACTTGTTAATATTGATATTTTAACCTGCTCCCATGAGTCACAAATGTTCATAATGGCATCTACACTGGAGAATCCTTTGCAGAAGCTTTTCAGTTGACTGCCCAGATCCATCACAGGAATCACTATCTACACAGCTATAGGCTTACAAAATGTATTTCTTAAATAAGATTTGAAAATTGAAATGACTCCTTGACCAAATGGATACAGTGTTAGCAGGCACAAAAACAAGATTAATTTCACTGTACATTTCCATCAGAGCTCTTGGGTGACCAGATGCATTATCAGTGAGCTGCCCTATTTTGAAAGGAATCTTTTTTTTTCTGAGCAGTTCTCAACAGTGAGCTTAAAATATTCAGTAAAGCATTGTGAGCAAACTAAGTGAGCAAATGTTGTTTGAAAGATGGCCCTGATAGACTTGTTTGACCTGGGGTTGCCACAAACCTTCAATTTGTGAAAAGCACAGTTTCTGTGAAAATGCAATAAAATGATGTATGCCTGTATGCAGGTTTCAGACTGGCCACTGGGTGGTGCACAATCAGGGCAGATTAGAACTGCGCTGTAATGATGCTGAAAACTAAATTGTCCTTGGAACCACGAGCTACATAAAGCTGTCCAGGGTGTGTGGTCTGAACTAACTGGATGGACTGCAAGCTAAAACCAAAAAAAAAAAAAAAAAAAAAAAAAAAAAAGCATTTCTCTAAAGACTTAAACAGGACTGACAGTTTCATAACATTTAAAATATCTAGGAAATAATCCAAAATTACTCAACATGTAAAACAAAAAGGAAATCTACACAACCCTCAAAGGAAAAGACAATGAACAAAAGCCAGTTCTGGAGTTACTTGAATTTCAGAATTGTGAGAAAAAGACTTAACATATTACTTTAATTATGCTCCATAAAGCAAGGGTAAATACTATTGAAATGAAAGGAAGAAGTCTTTACCAAAAAAATAGAAGCTATAAAAAGAACCAAATTGAAATTTTATAAGTGAAAAATATAAATCAAAAAATTTACTAGAGGGCCTTTTTTTTTTAAGATTTTATTTATTCATGACAGACAGAGAGAGAAGCAGAGACACAGGCAGAAGCAGGCTTCATGCAAAGAGCCCCATGTGGGGCTTGATCCCAAGACTGTGAGCTCAGGCCCTGAGCCAAAGGCAGACACTCAACTGCTGAGCCACCCAGGCGTCCCTACTGGAGGGTCTAAATAGGATGGAGACAACCAAGGAGAGAGTCAGCAAATTTAAAGATATACCAGTAGAAATTATCCAGCCTGAATAATATAGAGAAAAAAAGAAAAAGAAAAGCTTTGAAGATGTATGGGAAAACATCAAAAGATCTAATATTCATGTTACAGAAGTTGCAAAAGAAGAGAAAGATTGGAAGAAAAAACATTTGAAGAAATAATAGCTGTGGGCCCCCTGGCTGGCTCAGCGTTAAACGTCTGCCTTTGACTCAGGGCGTGATCCCAGGATCGAGTCCCACATCGGGCTTCCTGCTTCTCCCTCTACCTGTGTCTCTGCCTCTTTCTGTGTGTGTCTCTCATGACTAAATAAATAAAATCTTAAAAAAAAAATAGCTGAAAACTTCCAAAATTTACAGTACAGTGAAAGTCATAAATTTACATATATTTACATAAAATTTACAGTACTTCTACTGGCACATCA